GAAAATAATTTTTTTTTAATTCTCAAAGCAATATATTTAGTCTAAATTAAATTTCTAGTTTATCATGTTTAAAAATTCATGCATATTATTTTCTTCAATTTAAATATATTAAAGATGTATTATTATAAGGCAGATTCAAATAAAACATGAATTAAAACAATTATTTAATAACAACATTTTATTAATCAAATTCTCAAACTGAATTTAAACTTTTAAAATTTATGGAAAAAATAAAATCAAAGCAAATTGAATTATAGTTTATAATGCTAAATCATTTTCAAATTTAATTTTGAAACAGACTCTCAAAAGACTTATTGAGCAGTCAGAAAACTTGAGACTTTAAAATACATTTGAATTTATTATATTAGATTCATTCAGAATTATTTTTTGAATCTGACTTAGTGATCATCCAATAAAGAACTTGATAAAATAACATTTAATAAATACAAATTCATCGTAAATGGTTAAATCTTTTATTTTTCCTATCCAATATACAGAATATGTCAAAGGCATGAAATAATGAACAAAAAAAATCAAAAACATAAAAATAAAAAAAATGATATTATGTGCACAAAGGCATATAATATAATTATCAGTCCTTTTAGATATACTATTTAGAATTTGGAAATGCTTATCACACACAAATTTCCCTCTGTCATCTATTAAAAGATAACATTATTACTTTGAACAGTTACTGTACAACTGCTAGAATTTGTACATTTAATCATTCATGTAAATAAATGCATGCTGCTAAACAGACTAGCATATGATCTCACTGACATGTATTCAGGCAATTTATTGAAAAAATTCTGATATAGATTTTCATTTTTGGTCCATTATTCAAGAATTATATAACACTATATATATATATATTTATATATATATATATATGTATGTATATGTTTATGTATATGAAGTGTGTGTGAATGTGTGTATTGGAATTTGAATTGAACACATTATTGTGATAAAAGTCGCAGACACTGGACGGTTAACAGAAGTCACAATTAAAGACAACATATAAAAAGACCTATCATTAAACCACTTGGAATAACTAATTGTATCAATGAGGTCCCATCATGAGCCAATGCTTTCTCAAAAGCACATAAAATAATCACAAATCATTTTACATCTAAGGCACTCTAGGCAGCAAATAAACAAAGCGAATAAGGTAATGTGATATGTATTATGCTGATTTAAGTTGCAGAAATATTTATGAGTTAAGCAGTATTTGTAAAGGCACAGATTTTTTCGAGAATGTTTTAAACTGTAAGGAATGTGGACGGAAATATATTTTGTGCTTTTAATAGTAGCAGATGCAAATAAGATTTTAGAGAGTATGCCTAAACAGATTGCATAGCATAAACAACAGCACCAATTCATTAACAATAATCTAGGCAATATAAGCAGTGAACTAGGTAATCAACATGCATATTTTTTTTTCTATTAAAAATTTGGAACACTATTAAAAATTATAAATTCAATTATTATTTGCTAAAAATTTTTTAAAAATTTATAATAAATTTTTGATTATGTATTAAGGATTTTAATTTGAAATATAAAACTTAAAAACAAAACTCAATAATTTTCTAAGAACAACAATTCATCTGTATTCCAAATATAGTTTTTTTTTTCTGAAATTATAGAATAAGAATGGAGCCAATTTTCATTAGTCTACAGATTCAAAGGAATAGTTCCATGTTCATTATGAGGTAGAACAATAATATTCTATATATATATATATATATATTTGTNCAAACCGTTGCCGGGAAAAGAGGTACAACCTTGTCCTACCTCCGGCTACTCACAAAGGATTTGGCGACAGACTATCGCCTCTCTGTTGACATTGGCTTTTCGGGTGTCGTTTCAACCTCCACCAAAGCTTATCTATGCTTGTCAACATACACTGGAGATTGTTTGAATGTATAATAATATAACCAAATATTTGGTCTTTCACCGATGTATTTTGTATGTGTCGACATTCACTGGAGAATATCGACATTCTCTAATTTCGGTCTTTCACAGTAACATATACATAAAGAAAGAAGGATAAAGAAACTGGAGATTGTTTGAATGTATAATAATATAACCAAATATTTGGTCTTTCACCAATGTATTTTGTATGTGTCGACATTCACCAGAAAATATTGACATTCCCTAATTTTGGTCTTTCACAGACACATATATATATATATATATATAATAAATATTAGAAAATTATAAGTTTAAAATTGTTGAAAGTTACTTGAAATTTCCAACATTTATGTGGGAAATTTTAAATTATAAGAAAACAAAAACTTAACATTATGTGATGTTTGAATTTTCAGTCTTTTCCAAAAATTCAAATATGTTTCAAAAAATTTTGGTTGCTTTGCTATGGCAACAGAGTGATACACATTTAAGATCCAGTACATTGGCTCCATTCTTATTCTGGGAAATACTATAGCTGCACTAAAGTAAAGAGGGAACACCAAGTCTAGTCTAACGAAAATTTCTGCAATTTTAAAAAACATGTATGAAAGATATAATGAAATAAATTCTAATATCTTAGACAATTTAAATTTTTTACTCGTTTTGAAATAAAAAATTAGTAACCTTATACAAAGTAAATCATAGGTCCATATAGTTGTTGACAACACTATCTTTACATCACATCTAAACAATTAAAATATTTAAATTGTAGATCTTTAGATATTTTTAATTACAGCAATTTATTAATCAAATTTATATCAATCTTGTGTCCAAAAAATTATTTCTTACTTTGAAAATAATTATTCTCATTTCAGAAAAGAATCAATGTAACATTTTACAGCATTCAGCCATTATAACTTTAATGAAAGACTATGCTCAATCTACTCTATCAATAGTAAACTAATTAAAAAGAATTACTAATAAAAATCTTATTTTATTCAAAAAGAGCTGATAGTTTTATCCAAATACTAACTAAAGAAAAAAAATATGAAATATGAATACTAGCAGACATATTTGATAATGCAAATACTATTATATTTCAATGTATTCAAGTCATTTATGATCTAACTATATCAATTAAAAAAAAAAGGATTGTAAGGAATGAATTTTTTGATTGAAATGCAAATTGTTAGTGCTCTTTGTGGAACTTTAAAATATGGTGGAATGATAATCATGTGAAACAATTTATATGTAAATGTTTAAAAATAAGAGAAGATTTGTATGAATGTATAATTGCCTTATTATATGTAAACTACAAACCTTTATATTTACAGATATTAGAATGTAGTTTGTTATAGTTTCTATGTTACAATGATACAATGATTTCTACTATTAGTGCAATGACAAGTTATATTAGATATGAGCTACTTTAGAAATCCCTGAGAATGGATTTCAAATATTTTCATCAAATGTTCTGGTCCCTCTTTATTAACATACTGACTAACATTAAAATTATCAGTACTCAAGTGATAATATTTATGTTTGTCAAATTTTAACATTTAGATAAACTAACAATTTTTCTATTTTGATATTAACATATTTCATTAACTCCTAACAGGCGAGCAGCAGAATCAGCTGAATCTAATATTTTATCCATTATTTTTGAATCATTTATACCTAAAAGATCTTGTATTAAATCTCCTGAATTATTTTCACTTTGATCCCTTTGTATCTGATTAGTTTTTTCTTGTACAGGAACTATTGCTGTTGAATCTGTCAAATTTTCTGAGTTCCAGCGAGAATTATTTGGAAAGTCTTCATACATTAAGTACAGTAAAGAGTTTTGACTTGATCGCGACAATGTTGGTAAAGCTTGATCTGAAACACATTCATCATCAGTACTAGATTGAGTTGAATTAACGAAATGCTTATGCTGATGGCGAAGCATACTGTTCTTCATTGAAAACATCCGTTGACATATATTGCAAGAAAATGGACGTTCTCCTGTATGTATTCTCATGTGTCTTCTCAGTTCTCCATTTGACCAAAATCTACTAAAACAAATAATACACACAACTTTACAAACTTTATAATCTAAAACATCTTTGTTTCCATTATTGTTATTGTTGTTATTATTATTTGACTGATCTGAAATAGAATTAAGGCAATCTGAATTTTCCAGGTCTTTGTTTTCAGCAATAATAACTCCTTTATTTACTAGCAAATCATATTCAGATGTATGAGAAATTCTTAAATGATTAATTGAATCATGCCGTTTTGTAAAAGAATCATCACACAAATGACATTTATACACAAGATTTGCCTCTGTATGTTCAGCAATATGAGCTAATAAATCTTGCAGAACAGTAAATGATTGATCACAAAATCGACAATCTAGAGAAAAGCAATTATTTTCTTCAGAATTATTGTCTTTGTTATCTTGCATCCCAAAATCATATTCATCAATTTCATTTCCATCTTCACTGCTTCTTTCTCCATCTGATCCTTCCTTCAATTTTTGATCAGAACAATTTTTTACTTTATGTTTAACATAACAATGTTTTTTAAGATTTCCTTGAGTTGAAAAGGTACTACTAGAACATAAATTGCATTTATAAGGTCTCTCAGGCACACTTCGAACTATTTCACCATTGTGACCATGCTTTCGCATGAGATGTCTTTCACAGTTTGATTTTGTGGTAAAATAAATTGGGCACTTTGGACATTTAAATGGTTTCTGGCCAGTATGTGTTAAAATATGTCGACGAAGAGAACTTGACCATGGAAATTTTCTAGAGCAGAAAGGACATGTTACACTATTAGGTGAATCTGCGTAAGAACTACGTTTTTTTACAGATCCACCATTCTTATTGCTATCTGGGGATAAACAAGCTTCAGAATTTACTTCTTCTTGGTGTATTTCATCATTATTGCTACTCTCAGGTGTTGCACATTTCTCAGAAGTGTGAACTTCTAAAAGATATTGCTTAAATTCTTGAGAATTTGCTGTATCAATTACAGCAGAGACACTTGCAAGATCAGTAGCAGTTTCATTTTCTGGTTTACCATCACATGAATTATCTTGATGGCAATCATCTTTCTTATCAGGGATCTTATCAAATGGATTATTATTATTTTCTTCAGTTTTCTGAATTTGAGGCATATCAGTAGAATGATTGTCTTCAGATACCAAATTTTGCCTTGATTCTATTTCGTCTGTAATAACTTGTGATTCTTGTGTTTTATCATTTTGACTTATAGGAAGATTATGTGATTTGTGACTCAAAACTTCTCGAAGTGCATTTCTAGTTTTTGTTGATAATGTAGATACACTTTGTTTATGAATACCTGGTGATGTTAAAGTAGGTATGTAATTTCTGCTGCGTGTTGGTCTTGCATATTCGGGATGTTTTCTTTTGATATGTCTCTCCATATTTGATTTTAAAGTGAATCCTGCAGTACAATACATACAAGTGTGTACACGCTGATTTCTAAATGATAGTCTTTCATTAACCATTTTGAAAGTCATGTTACATGACTTAACTTCTGGAATTGGACTTTCAGCATTACAAATAGTATTTGAAACTAAACATAAAGGTTGCAAATCATTTGACACAGATGGAAAAACTTTCTCTGAAATTAACTGGGTAGTTGGTGATTCAAAATATGAAGAAGGTGGTGATGAATTAAAATTTAGATCTTCACTTAAACTATAAATGCTAACTGGCCTTGATGACTTTTCTAAACTTTCCCTGGAATGTGTTCTTAAATCCAAAGCATGTACTGCTAAATCCAGTGGCTTTTCTTGAGGTGGACAAAGTTGTGATAAATTTACTAGACTAGTTGCAGCACTTACAACATCTTCCATGCTTATGTTATCATCTTTGGTTGTTTCAATGGTTTCATTCAATATTGGCAAACATTTTGTAGTTAAATTTAAAGGTTCAGAAGTTGAGCCAAATATTTCATTTTGTGAATGTTCATCAGAAAACTGAAGTGAATCATGCTGTGCTGTTTCATTTTGTACATTTGCCATAACAACAGAATTTAAATTTTGTCTCATTTCTTGATGTTGTCTTAGAACATGCCTTATACAATTATTTTTAGTAGAAAAGCCAAGTTTACATATATTACAAAAAAATGGTTTTCTACTGCAACTGTTATTAAGTGAACGTAAATGATGACGCAAAACACGATTAAACTTAAAATTAACATTGCAATATTTACATACAGTTTCTGCAGAACCACATACTTCTGGCATTAGAATTTCAGGTGAGTTTACTTCAGACATATTGGGATTATATTCCATAGAGTTACGAATTTCTTGTTTTGTTATTTTCTTATGTCTTTTTCTAACATGTCGTTCACAGTTAGCTTTAGTTGTAAAAGCAAATTTACAAATTGCACATTGAAATGGTCTTTCACCATTATGTGTTCGCAAATGTCTAATTAAAGTACTTTTATCAACACTATTATAAGGACATAAATGGCATGTAAAAGTAGAACCGTTTTGCTTATGTAATCTATTATGACGTTTAAGACCTTTAGAATTTTTGAATGATTGCTTGCAAAATGAACAAGAAAAACTTTCAACAGAATTAATATTTGACATAGAAGCTGAACCCTCACAAATAACAGCTTTAACTGATGACGGATGGTCACATTCTTCTTTGGACGGAGTATCAGGACTTGCAGAATCAGCTACTAAAGGAGATTCTGGTAAAACAGAAACCAAGTTCTGATTTGGTGAAGCAGGAGAAACAGCAACAGGTGTTGTTTGAATATCACTTAAAAAGGAAGATTTAGCAGTAACGGTTATTATTTCTTGTACATCAGCAAAATCACCATTGGTATTTTTCACATTCATTTTTTGTAATGAAGGTTCTACTTTTCCATGAGTAAAGTAAGATATGCTTTCAAATGTATCTTCTTTTTCTTGGTATATTTGTTCTGTTAAAGAATATTTTAAATTATGGGCTTCACTTTGTAATTCTAATAAGGCCAAGAAATCTTCTTTTTCAGATTGTTTTCTTTCATCTTTAGATTCAACATCAGTTGCTTCTTTTTTTCCATTATCTTCTGCAGAACAATGTTCTGCAGATCTATGTTTCAGTTGGTGAACTTGAAAAGAAGCAGGAGTTAAAAAATCACAGTTGCAGCTTGGACAATATGTTCCAGATGCTTTTCTATGCATAATTCCATGAAGATTTAATGCACTACCACAGGGAAAAGCTTTTTTGCATTTTAAACATTCAAATGTATGAAAGGCACTACTTGGACGTCGTCTGTTATGTTCACAGAAGGATTTTGCAATTAAGGAAAATTTTTTTGTAGAAAAATCAATAAATGTAAGATCTTGAAAGCCTACAGGTACTATATTATTATTCATTTTAGGCTTTGTATCTTCCTTCTTTTCATGTATAGCACAGCACTTATGTTTCCTATAGATATTGTAATTACTTGATATGTCACCACACTCTTGGCATTGAATAGGATCATTGGGATGTGTGTCCATATGAGTCTGAAGACCATAACTGCATAGAAATGTTTTACCACAAACAGGGCAATATAATTTTTCTTGATCTTCATTAATTTCTTCAGTATGACATTTTTTTGCTAAAATTGGAATGGAATCATTGGAGTTATATTTTCTTTTCAATTTTGGTTCCTTAATTATCTTTGTGCTTTCATTGGGATCATCATTTTCACTATGAGTACGCATATGCCTGTGCATATTTCCATTAGTTGTGAAAGCCATCTCACAATATCTGCATTTAAAAGGTCTTTTTCCAGAATGAACAAGCATATGCCGATCCAAAGAACTAGAAGAACTCAAAACTTTACCACAAAGAGGACAACAATGGCTGTTGTCACTATTACTATGTTGCCGAACATGAACAGTCCAATTATGAGCTGTTTCAAATACTTTATTACATATTGGACAAGTGACTGGTTCTTCATTTGTATCTTCCTCAGCAATCTAAAAAAATATTAAATTTTAAATTAAATACAGTTTTAAAAATACTTTTTAAAAATAGCAAGTAAAATAATTATTTTAAATTTTCATGATGGCACAATTAAATCAAATTTTACTACAAAAAGAAGGTATTAATCAATGTATCTAAAATTGTATAAATTTAATTAATTAAAAAAATTACAGAAAATAGCATTATTAAATACTATATTCATAGAATTTGCTAAAATCAATGCATATTTGACATTTATTAATAAAAATTCCAAATGTCAAACTAACATTTACTATTAGTTTAGCATTAAGCTATCAGATTCATTTGTAAGTGTGCCATCTCGTCCATAAAAATGTAATAGTATGCATATTTGATGATCACAAAGTATCTTAAATATAAAAAGAATACCTTATCCCCTTGAGTTTTCTTTTCTTTTTTAGTATCTTGGTGTTCTCCATTCTTTAATTCTTCTTTTCCATAATCATTTTGAGAATTATTTAAATTTTTCATTACATTATCTTCATTTAATTCATTCACTTTAGTATTATTATTATCATCATTATTACTATTTGGACTATTTTGTATTTGTTCTACTTGCTCTGCAGATGAATTTTCTTGTTCTATTAAAAATAAAAATCCAATAAATATATTTTAATTTTTAATCCAAAATTTTATTTATTAAACTTGCTATATCATTTATATATTTATTATAAACATTCAATCACTTATATTTAAATTAAATAAACTTAATATGATAAAATAATAATTAAACTTATTTTTCAAAATATTTTTTGTTTAAAGTAATAAGAATTATTAATAAATCTTAATATTACATTTCTGTAATATCATCTAAAATAAATAAATAGTTATATTATATTTAAAAAGATAAAGATATCTATTTTTATACCAAAATTAGGTCTATCAAATAGCACAAGAATAAAGAATTACAGTCAAACCTTAGTTTTTGAATGACTCACTTTTTGAACAAATTGGTTGAGAAATAAAATTTTAAACTCTTAACTGCACTGGCTGCTGAACAACCTACTTGGCAAGAGCTGGCCACAGAAACACAGATGATCAACTCCCTATACTTCCTATATTATAGAAAGTTGACAGCTTGACCAATCAATGACAGGACTACTGATTCAGAAGTTACTGATTCAGAAGTTACTGATTAAGAAGTTAGTGGCACCAAGATCACTTTATATCATTACGCAAATCATCAATGACATTGTTATTTAAATTAGATTTCAATGCACTTAGAGGAAAGATACTAATTCCATTTTTTGGTAAACATTGTGGTTGAATAAAAACTGCATTAACTGATATTAATGTAATATAAATCCAAAGCATCTAAGAATTTGTTTAATGCTTGAGTCAAATTAAATAACAAAAATTTATTTTTTCTCATTAGTGCACAAATGGCTTTCCGCATTACATTTAACAGTATTAATTAAATGCAAGAACTTTTAATGAACATCTTTTAGAAATGTAATGAATACAGCTAAAAAAAAAGGCTTTATTTTAGGGGTCAGGAATAGATTGATCCATTTGGTATTGTTTCTTATGGAAAAATTTGTTTTGGTTTCAGAACAACTTTCAGGAATGGATTATGTTTGAAAATCAAGATTTGACTGTATATGAATAGTACCCATTCTGGCCATCTTCAAAATTATTTACAAGTGTAAGTTAAAACCAAAATGGAATTTAAAACTAAGACAGAGATGGAAGTCTAGCATCTAACAATATAAATTACACAGCTACGAAAATGATGCATTTTTATTTCATTTATCTCAGTAGGAAGCCATATTTTGTAATGTCCTTGGGAGACTAGTTGCAATTTTCATTTTGACATCCATTGATCATTCCTGGTTAATATATATCTGACCAAGACATAATATTCGGTACTTGTGAATCTTTGTCCCAGATGTTGGCACCACCCTGGCGACCAACATCTCAACTAATACTTGTATTCCTTTGAAACAAATTGACTCAGCCAACTAACCTACATTAAACAGACTGTGTTATTGACTCAGTCAGTTTCATTATTTCAATGCTGTTAAGATTATCACAAAATTTTATTGGGTTGTAAGGAAAGTAAGTTTGTTTTTTTTTACCACTAGACGGATTAGTGGTATGTTTCCCGCCATTTTCGTTCTAAACCGTATTATCATTATATATTTTGACAGCTAGCATTTTATGGCTTATTTGTAAAAAATTTTGTTTGATTTCGTGCAATTGTTTATTTTTTGTGTCCCATAAAATATGAAAGATCAAAAGCAGCATCTTCGGCATATTTTGCTTTTTTATTACCAAAAAAATAAAAATGCCATTCAAGCAAGAAAAAATCGCGTGACGTATGGTGGAGATGTGTTGACAGAACAACAGTGCCAAAACTGGTTTACAAAATTTCCTTCTCGCAATTTCAGTATTGAAGATGCACCACGTTATGGATGACCAATTGAAGCCAATGAAAACAAAATAAAAGTACCGATTGAAGCAAACTGCGAAATAACAACACGTGAAATCACTAAGAAATTAAATTTGTCAAATTGAACTGTTTATGATTACTTGAAACAAATTGGTTTCGTTTCAAAGCTCGATATACGAATTCCACGAGTTCTTAAAGAGAAATGCTCTATTTGGTGGGATATTAAGGAAATTTTTTTTGGAGATTTTACCAGACAATTTAATAATTGATTCGAAAGTGTACTGCATTCGAGTAAACAAATTGTGTAATATCATCAAACAGAAAAAGCCAGCCAGAATTGATAAAAAAAACAGCTGTAGTGTTTTACCACAATAATGTCAAATTTCATACAAGTTTGGTAACTCGTCAGAAACTGTTATAACTTAGATGGGAGATGCTATCACACCAACTGTATTTGCCAGATCAAGCACACTCAGGTTATTACTTGTTCAAGTCTGTACAATTTTTTTTAACTGTAAGACATTTACTTGAAATGACAATGGCAAAAATCACTTGGATCGGTTTTTTGTAAGCAACGATCAAAACTTTTATGAATGTGAAATCGTGCTACTACCAGAAACGATGACAACAGGTATTTGACCAAAATGGTCAACATATAATTCAATAAAATATTTATTTATCATAAGAATATTGCGTTCTTTTCCACGAAAAAACGAACTTACTTTCCGAACAACCCAATAATAAAGAAAAAGGGTAAAATTTTACCTATGTGCACTGTCACGGCAGTGGTCGCGACTGTTTGTGTTCCTGGCGGACTCCTCCCTTCAAGGGGAGCTGCTGATTGTTTAATGTCACTAGTTATTGATATGTGTGTTCAAGAACTACTGTGAATCAGTAACTAGTGACATTAAACAATTGGCGGCCTGCCAGAGGCCTTCCTTTTATACCCTCCTTACTCTGATTTCTTTAATTTCGCCCCATATACTTTTATCTGTTCCCTAAATGGAACAAGAAATTGAAGCTGAATATATGAGCGCTAAGTTTTCAGCTCTTAGTAGACTTACCACACACTATTGAGGAAGAAGATGCCTGCCTCAATAGTGCTTGCCTGAACACCATAACAATATGCAAAATAGATAAGTTACATTTTGTCAGTGGTAGTAAATGTCAAGTTGACCAAAGCAAGTTGTAAACTACATGTATATAAATGTTTGGTCTTTATACAGTTCTATTCTGTTGTGGTTTTGAACTTGATGTATTCACAGGTTATTCATTTTGAAATATATTATCATGTTAAATAACAATTATAAGCACTGAAGATGTTTGTGCACTATGAATTAAGTATGTACAAAACCTTTTGTTTCATCTAGATGTTAATTTATTGTAATTGAAATTTAATGTATTTTTAATGCCTGTAAGAATATTTTGTAATAAGAATAGCTGAAGAGGAGCAGCTCAAGTGCCCAAAATGCATACCATTATTGTAATAAATATTAAGTGTTCATCAGTCTCTGTGTAATTTCACCTATGCCTCAATAGTGTGTGGTAAGTACTACTGAGAACTGAAAACTTAGCACTCATATATTCAGTTATATTAATAGAAAGATAAAAAACACTTCACAAATAAAGAAATTGAAGGATACAAATTCCAATAGGCAGCAGAGTAGAAGTTGCAGTGACAAAAGCTATTAAATACACTCATTGCCATAAAAATTAGTTCACCAAGAAGGAGCTGTCAGAACTCAATGAAATTGAACATGGGTAAATGTAACAGTGATAGAAGTAAATGATTACAAAATGAAGCAAAAGAATCATTCTTTGCAGGAAAAACTACAAATGAAAGAAGGTTCCAGTACAGTGTTGAGGCCACCTCTAGCATGAATACATGATGTGATACGAGAGGGCTTGAATCCATATGCTATATGGTGTCTGCAACATCTCAGTCCACAGTTACTGCAAGTGACCCTCTAGTTTGGCCAAACTCCTAGCTGTCCAACTTGATGTCACAGGTGATCAATTAGAAATCAGGACTGGGCAGGCCAGGAAAAGTGTGGCAATGTGGCAGGGGCAGTCCTGTGACATCCTTGCTATGTGTGGTCAAGCATTGTTCTGTTAGAAAATGGCTCTTACCATTTTCCAACAGGGAGCCCTGCCATGAGACAACACATGTGAAAGCAAGATGTCAATAACATACTGCTGGGCTGTCATGGTTCCTTGGATCACTACTAGAAGTAACTGGCTGTTGTATGTGATGACACCTCAGACCATCACACCAACTGTGGGAATGGTATACCATCCAAAATGTAGGCAGAATGAGGAGTTCACTGTGGGGTCTCAAGACACAGACACAGCCATTGTTAGTGCCCAAATTGGATCTAGATTCATTACTGAAGATGACCCGGTTCCATTCTGTTGCAGTCCAATTCCATCAGACACAACACCACAATAATACAGTCAATTGTATGCATGCTTCTCAGAGGACCAGGAGGTCCTCTCAGTTAGTGGTCTGTCAAGGGTGTCCTGAACCTGGGCATAGCATGCGAGAACTCACTCTCTCTCATCCATTGGTCCCAACACTTCCTTAATGTTGTCAGAACAGACTAGGTGGTGGACTATTCAGCAAGATGACCATCCAGCTTCTCTCAACCCAATGATCTTTCCCCTCTCAAACTCGGTTAGCTGTTCATACGGTCTTCAATTTCAACATAAAGACATCTCTAGTGATACAGCATTCCTCTACAACAGATAAACTACAGACAGGATGCCTTTGTACACTTTTTTATAGGAGATAAGGATGTACTTTAATGCCCTCTGCTGGCATTAAATGGAAATAATTATAATTATAACATGATGGCAATGAGCCATCATGTTATAACTGTAATCATTTCCATAACTGCTTGAGACTTACCTGCATGCCAAATTTTGCAGTGATATGATATTTCCTTGCTGCAGTGCTAATTTTTATGGCAATGAGTGTATATCAGAAAGTGGCTTCTAGGATTACTTTCACAAGTGGTATAGATACTAGGAGAAGTGTATATGTGCAGATTACTTTGATGATACTATGATATAAGAGTGTATATATTGTATAATAAAACTTGTTCCAAAAATTTGATTTAATTTTGATTCTACTACATATATACATAAAATATTGATAATCTCTCTATGTTAAAAATAAGCATGACTATG